TATCAGCGAATTGTTATCAATAATATCTATAGTTGATGGTACTATCAGCGAATTGTTATCAATAATATCTATAGTTGATGGTACTATCAGCGATGTTTATCAATAATATCTATAGTTGATGGTACTATCAGCGATTTTTATCAATAATATCTATAGTTGATGGTACTATCAGCGATTTTTATGAATAATTTCTATAGTTGATGGTACTATCAGCGATTGTTATCAATAATATCTATAGTTGATGGTACTATCAGCGATGTTTATCAATAATATCTATAGTTGATGGTACTATCAGCGATTTTTATCAATAATATCTATAGTTGATGGTACTATCATCGATTTTTATCAATTCTAAAATTTAACATCGATACAGTGCTTTCCGGACGTTCATAATGGTAGTTTATCGATAGTTCCATATATTGTTACACTCATAATTTGCTTTCTTTTTAAGCACGATGCAAGTTTTTATGTGGAAAAATAGCCATTTTTACAGTGTGTATCCTGTAGGCAAACCAATTAATATTGTAGCGTATCAGTGATAGTACACCCATAACTAATACTTGTAAAATACAAAAATGACACGTTTCTCAAAACATTAAGCGTATTTCATGCGAATATGCTACCTATCTGGAGCACTATATACACACACACATGGGAAGACAGAAAGAGAGTGACATTTTTAAAATTATGTATTTGTTGTTGAATTACTACCAATACAACAACTTGTTTCAAGGTTTCATTAACTATGTTAAGTACAACGTTTCTCCGATATTAATCAAAACTATTTAATAATTAGCTTAAAACTAAATTTTTTCGACAATAAAATATGAAAATTGTCGGTGACTATCAAGATGTTGTTAGAAGTTGGAATCACAACATCTTAAAATGGAGTGTGTATTACTGCAGTAGCATTATTTTAAGATTGCAAAGAGGAGGAACGCGGTTTATTGTGTAAGGAACATACAACTAATAAAAGCAGCAGATACATATGATTATCGAATAGGTAAAGCAGGTGAGAAAATAAGCGCAAAATTTCTTTAAATTTACACTATAATTTAATACAAATGAAAATTTTTTTGTAAGCTGTATTATGAATCCAGTAAATTGTTAGTGATTATGTTGAAAGTGATATATTATAATTTAAAGCGCCAGTAGTAAAAAATATAAAACATACGTGTTGTTATCTGTCAAGACTTTACCTGAACTTCGCAAAATGTGCTGCTTTCCAACCGTCACAAACTCATAATGATGTCATAGCTTAGTAGCCAATCACAACTAAATATGGCCTAACCAATAGTGCTAAAAGTAGAACGTAGAATGTGAAATTTAATACAGCTACAGAAGTGAGAGTGTAATACATAAAAGACAGGTTCATATACAGCGTTATAACAATAGATGTTGACTAACTATTAATTAAAAATTTTGGTTATCATAAGTTATTGAATAGGATTTTCTGAATGTTCTTTACCTACCCCACCTTCCTGTGTAGTGGTATCGTCTTCTACTGTAGGCTATATGTCGGGTAAAGATAAGAACAGTGCAGGGGATAGTTTGTAAGAGGTAAGGAAGAACCGTCTTACTACATTTTGATTTTTTTTTTTATATATCTGGATAATGCCTCAATGACTGCTAACCGATGAAAGTTAAATACTTTCATTTAGCTGGGCCCTAGACATGAATGTGGACTAGGTAGACCATAACTTCGTTATCAATAATAGTTAACTTAATAGTAATACTGACTCTGAGTGACTGACTACGGTTGGTGACAAAAGTCATCATAACTTAAGCGTGTATGAGGGAAGTGGATGATTCTGTGTTGGCAATGATTAATTATCTAACCCATAAACTACGAACTCAATCCCTGAATGAAAGCGATCCATTTCAGTGTAAGGTGGGTTGCTAAAATTATTTGAAACTTGCTTTCTAATTCTATGTACTGATAAGGCTAACCTTTCACGTTATATCTACGTGCGATTTCTGGATTGTTATTACAAAGCTGTTTTCTTTTTAATTTACATTTATAAAAACATCGAGGATAATTCTACATACTTCTCGTTCTAGTACTAGTAGGTATGCCTTCTAAAACTTTATTTTATTATACTTTTAAAAGTTTAAGTTTAACTGCAATCAAAGTTATAGGCACCCACGAGTACATATATAACGATGGTTTTAATAAGAAGATTGATATTTTGCTTCTTTGGGCTTTAGCATTATCTACAGTCTGTTATAAGTAACGGAACTGTATATTGATTTTGGGTATTATAATAAATGAGTGTGTACTACACCGCATAGCATGCATAAACTTTAATATTTCGAAAGCGCTCGGTTTTTACCATAAATCGTAACATATTAAACGTAAATTCTTGTGTGTAAAATTGTATTAACGTCTAGTTATTTTAATTAATGTTAATTATCTATTGATCAGTTATATAGTAAATTATTTGTGTGTCAACATGATAGATAAATATTTTTGGCGTTCATCTTTGAGTTTGAGCGTGTTTGTGGATGCTAGATGATTATATAGCATATACTGATATAGTTGGAGGTGTAGTGTTAACGAACTACACTGGAGTAACGCTGCGGCATCTGAAATTGGATCCGAGTCTAAGCACTTTCCTTTTTTTTAGCTATTCGTGTTGGCAAGTTGTTACTATTTTATAGTGCAACTAGAAGGACGGTAACTTAGTAAGGTACGTGTTTTTTCTCGCTACTATATGCGTATTAAATTTTGCTTAAGTTTAATGTAAGAAGTCTCAAGTAATTAGTCTTAAATATATTTTCTTAACTTAAAATGGACTAAAATTTGGGTTTTGCAATCATTACCCTTATGGTGGCGTCACACTTATGACATCTTGGCAGGGCTCGGACAATATTTAGCACATCTGTGCATATAGTATTAGTAACGTAAACATCTGATCTCGTGTGTGCGTGTGAGGTGACAAGTTATTCTTGGAAATTCGTATTCCAACAGTCACTACTCAACGGTCGCGTATTGACTCCCCCTTGAATTATTATTTATTAATATAAACCACTTGCAACTTTTTTTTTCTAAAACGAGTATTGTGCGTCAGGGAGACATTTCTAGTTCTAAAGTCTGATTCGGAGGGTATGTGGTACAAAAAAAATAAATAAATTAAACCACATTTTTAGATTATAATTGTATGTTTTTTCGTTAAAC